TGTTATCATTATGTTCTGTGTTCATGAAATAAAATTCTTCTGCTATTCTACACATTTGTAACCACGTGGAAGCTTTCAGATGATCCTTTCCCTCAATTCTGTATTCTTTGACCAAAGTGATTATTGATTATGGTAATCCCAACAGGTTTCTAAACCATTCTTTTTTTTTGGGTGGGCCATACTAAAACAAATTTTTGTAGTCTATACTTGCAATTATTTTTGACTTGGCAACTCATATTGAACTATTATCCTGGTGGCTATTTTAGTTCATCGTCGAAGATATTCTGCAAAATAAATTTTACTTCATGACTCTGTTGGTTATACTTGATAAACATTTTGTTCATTTCTTTGGTAAAAGGAGAGTTTATTTGAAAACAGAAGATGTAAAGTGGGAAGGAAAGATATCCTTGTAGAGAATATGAAGAAAGAGATAATAAAAAGAGAAAGAACAAAATAGATAAATATTAGCATTTTACAACAAAGTAGTCTGGTCCCTTGGTAATATATACAATGAAACGACTCGAGAACACATGACTCTAGGATTGCAATGAAGCCAAAAACACCTATCTTATCCCAGGAAAGTGTGGAGAACAGAAACATGCTTGGAAGATTCTGGCATTACCTTTCAATCAATAGAGGAGTCTGACTTCTTGTAGAAATCTAGTTCCTATACAGGTTGGTATCTTTAGGGAAATCTCTCTATAAAGCAGAATCATAATCAATTTTCATAACTAAAGATTTTTTCCTTTTATGAGATTGATTTGTATTTAGTTTTCATCTAAAATTCTCTCAAATCTTATTCTATATATCCACTTGTCGTAAATTAAGTATTATGAATAAACATTTAATAAACAAAAAACTTAATTATAAATTTTCAATCACAATACCTAAAGAGCTGCCAAACTTTGCCTTTTCACAGGACTTGTTCTCTTTATTCCTTCTATTCCCTCAAAGATGAATAGGTATAATTAAGTTGGAAGGTAGGTGGACAAGCTCACAATTTTTGAAATAAAGCAAAGAGACTACTCTACAACGGCATGCCACATCATAGAGGAGATATATATGATTAAATTATTTTTGTTGGTCTTTACTAGAAATTCATTAATATGACACTGCACTGTCTTATATGGCTGTAGATCCTCGGTTTTCTTTTTATTTCCTTATGATTGTGGTTTGCTGACTAATCATGTGGTCTTTCTGCAGAATAGGCACAGAACATGAAAAATTTGGTTTCGAGTTTCGTAGCTTATGCGCAATGACTTATGAACAAATATCTGAGTTGCTAAATGGTATTGCGGAGAGATTTGATTGGGATAAAGTAATGGAAGGAAACAAAATAATCGGACTCAAACAGGTAACTAAACCTTGCATTTGTTATTTTCTTTTGCTTTGCTTTGTTTTTTATTTGGTTGTCTTTAAGAGAGAAAAGGAGTTTCCACTTGTACTTTGAAATCCTTATATTGTTGTCTTCCTATCAGTTGAATGGTAGTGCTTAAAATTCACTGATGTAATGTAACAATGTACAATCTTGTTTTCTCAATATTTCTTTCTTAAGAGTTTGTTTGCTTAATCATGCAAATTTCATTAACTTTTACCGACACATGTACGACTTTTCTGGGACAGGGGAAGCAGAGCATATCATTAGAGCCTGGTGGGCAGTTTGAGCTCAGTGGTGCACCTCTTGAAACCTTGCATCAGACCTGTGCTGAGGTCAATTCACATCTTTATCAGGTGAGTTGAAGTAGGAACTTTATTTGTGCGTCTTTTCTTTAGTTTAGAGCCTGGTGCAGTTGTGTGGTACGGCTTGAAGCTGTTTCAATGTGACTGGTCATAAACAATTATCTATCTTGAGGAGCAAATGTAAAGGGATAATATATATCTTATATTTAAATTTTTTCATAGTTTGTTTATATCTTTAATATTATATTTTTGGTGTTATTAGGAGTTTACAACATAGTAGATTAGAACTCTACATCCTTCTCTCCTGTAACATTATACATAACATGTACGTATGAAGAAGAAAATCATATCTGTTCTGTTCAAAATGGACAACGGGCTGTTGCAGTCAATTTTATCATCTTTTCTAAATTCTTCATTGACTGGATAAAAACTATTCTAGGAAGTTGCACCATTTTGCACACTGTTAAATGATCTATACATAGTAGGATATATATTGAATTATAAGTTATCTGAGAGCTTTTGTTCTCAGCTGTAATGAAATACAAGTATTTTTATATAAACCAACGCAACTGTTACACATCACAAGTGTGTGTTATTTGTTAACCTTGTATATCATTATTTCACTTGTCAGGCGCTCTTTATGCAGATTCACTATCTGATAAGATATTGAAATTTCTCTCTTCCCTTTGCTTCTATCTATTCTATATACGCTGTTTAAGAAGTATACTCTTTTTCCTGTAGTATTTTTAGCTGGCAAGAGCGAGTTTTTGATGAAAGCACCAAACTATATACAAATTTGTTATGTAATTCACATTTTCCTTTATTTATATTTCACTTGAATCAATATGAATTTAGGTTTTCATCCGTATTTTGATTTTATTGCTGATGCAACTGCTATTTGTCTTTCTTCTTGAGCTTCATGAAGTGAACCCATGCAAGTGGTTTTTTGACCAGGTGAAAGCAGTTGCAACCGAAATGGGGATTGGATTCTTAGGAATTGGATTCCAACCCAAATGGGGACTCAAGGATATACCTGTTATGCCTAAGGTACAATTCATGATTTTGTTTAGTCATTCAAATTGGATGGACTGTCTTGATCATCGTAGAAGAAAGTCTAGTTTAGATAGGATGAGTGTGCAAACAAGTCTTGCAAATGGACTATGCAGCTATTAAATGGAGAAGATGGTGATTTGTCAAACAGTTTAACACCAAAATGTTATATTGGAACTGTATTGCAGTAACCCTTCCCAAAACCATGTTTTGTGTGTACTCAATTCATTTTAGAGAAAGATCTAGCCTCAAAGCTTCACTTTGGTTGATCTCAACTTCCAAAGTTCTAGCAATTTGTTTTGTCCCGGGCTTGTTTTTAAAGTAAGTGTGCTCCTGCCATTTCTTAATATGCCATCACAAGCTACATATGCTTATCCTCAGGATTTTGCACATTAGTGAAAGGGTTCCACATTCTCCTGCCACAGCTTCTAATAGTTTTTAGTATTTATATTAAGATTGTGATTTTATCCCTATTAGTTGTGGTTTTGTTGCTTGAATTCCCTTTTCTCTGCCTTATGGGCATACCAACCATGTTATATGTATTAGTTCTCTCTAAACTTGACTTGTTAACTTTAATTTCAAATTTCAATATTCTCTCCATTTTGGCCATTTTTTGGAAAATGCAAAACTACAAGATGATAGTTGAATATAAAATGACGAACTTTGAGTGTATGTGGAAGACAGGGGAATAATACATTATAAATACCATTAGTTTTGGTGGAATGTAGAATATATTGTTTTAATTTCACTTAGAATTCCATACATATACAATTTTTGTCATCCTAATACAATTTACACATTCTTGTGATTAAACAAAGTATAGACTTACAAATGAATTTCAAATTATTTCTGAATTTATTCCAAACATAGCCTTAGATTTTGGATATATTGATTATTTGGATGCTGACATAGTATATTTTGCTCAGGGGAGATATGAGATAATGAAAAACTACATGCCTAAAGTTGGAACTCTTGGACTTGATATGATGTTTAGGACATGTACTGTTCAGGTATTGTGAACCTTGCAATTTCCACCTCTCTTGGTTATCAGGTTATTCATGGAAGAACCTAAAGGCTAGATGCCTGTAAAGAAAATATTCTGTTTGAAGTGAAACTTACATCTTATTTCTGTAAAAACAACACTGGTAATAGGTAAATCTGGACTTCAGTTCAGAAGTTGACATGATCAGGAAATTTCGAGCTGGTCTTGCTCTGCAGCCTGTGAGAAATTTCTTATTATAGATTTTTTAACTGTAATATTCTTTTTCATTGCTATCTAACTTGGTGGTCAAATGGAACAGATAGCAACAGCTCTATTTGCAAATTCACCTTTTACTGAAGGAAAGCCAAATGGTTATCTCAGCATGAGGAGGTTTTTAAATTTCCTTGCTGATTTGTTGGATTTCATTTTTCTGAATCTGTTATCCATAGGTGTGGTATTTGATTCTTTGTATTTCAACAGCCAAATATGGACTGATACTGACAATAATCGCGCTGGGATGCTTCCTTTTGTTTTCGATGATTCCTTTGGGTGAGTGTCGTTGTTACCAAAATATCAGCATATAATCTCACTATATTCTATGGTGTGTATTTTTCTTCAAGCCCATTGTTTTGGACCTTTTATGTTTTATTGGACAAGCCATTTTCATTAAGAGCATTGGTGATCCATGTTTTGCACCTAAAATTGGAGACTTTGTAGGTACCTTTTGATTAGCTGTTCTCTTTACTGGCTTGTTTATGATCGAGGAGTCAGTTAGAATTGTTTTTTGGTGAGTTTCAGAATAATAAATGGTGGCTAGAATGTTCTTGAAAGTATTATCTTGATTTTGTATATATGTTACTAGGAAAATTGCAGCCAATTATGGAAAAGGTTGGACAGTTGAACCTAATTGTTTCTCATTGAGTGTAGACTATTGGATGAATCTAATACTTGCTTAAGTTTTAATTGACAGCTTTTTGGCAGCATGTAAGATACAAAAACAATGTTGGTGTACAGCTTCATTTAGCTGTGGAAAACCTTGTAGGAATTTCTCTTTTTCCAGTCATCTGCATATTTCGCTTTCTATTGTATCTTGGGCCATAATATTTCTCTTAGGACTATTTTTCTTGACTGTTATATCAATATGTCATATAAAAAACTGTCCAAGCCACAGAGTTAGTTCTGACGCAAAGTCTCATCATTTGTCTGGAAATGATGAATTTTCGGTAGATAAAACATTATTGTGGTTTTTGATACCTTCTTAGCTTCTGTATCTGTAATTTTCCTGGGTTAGAATTTTCTATATTTAGATTTTGGATTTTTTGAATTTGTAATTAATTAGAGTCTCATCTCTTAAAGGACTAAATAAATTATTTGATCTTAATATTTCCTCATTTTTGTCTCATCCTGCTGCAGATTTGAGCAGTATGTTGACTACGCTCTCGATGTTCCCATGTATTTTGTTTATCGCAACAAGAAGTATATCAACTGCGCTGGGATGTCATTCCGGGTTTATATCTAATCCTCTATGGACTTGTAATCTTAGGCTTCATAGCTAGTCTGATTCTTCTTATCCACTCTCTTGTTTAACCTTGAAATCTCCTTTCCTTCCCCACTCTCCTGGGGAGAAAATGGAAAAGAACCTTCACAATTCTATTTCAACCAATTCCTTATTTGAGAACCTCCTCAATTTTTTTTGTGTAGGACTTTATGGCCGGAAAACTTCCATGTATTCCGGGTGAATTGCCATCCCTTAATGATTGGGAAAACCATCTGACGACGTTATTTCCTGAGGTTGATTGCAGAAAACTGATGACTTTCTTTTCCTTTTGTGCTTCTTATGCATTTGCCTCTAAGCAGATGTTACTTTTTTTTATCCAGGTCAGGCTCAAGAGATACTTGGAGATGAGAGGTGCTGATGGAGGGCCTTGGAGGAGCTATGCGCATTGCCAGCATTTTGGGTAACTTCTTGATCTGTTTTTATATATATTTGTACTGGCTTCTTGCAAAGTTGAGTTGAGAACACTAGAATGTGAAAGACCCCAGTTTGATATCCTACAGAGCTGGCTGCATTTTTATATGGTTGCCATGTGAATCCTGTAATAATGCAGCTTTTTAGTGTCAGCTGTTATGTATTTTGTTGATCTATTGTAGACGACTGTCATGGTCCCTCTTATTTATACTTAGAGTGCAGCCATTTAATTCTCTTGCATTCTCTATCCTGGCTTCATATTTCTAGCTTCTGGTTGTAGCATGTTTATAATAGTCTATCTTCACACGAAAAAGGAAGGAAAAAAATCCCACTCCTTGTAAAGTCATGTTAAATCAGTGAAATCTTATCTAAGTGGGAACATTCTCTGTCTAGGTTGTGCAAATTATGTTATTTGGTCAACATCAATTCATTTTATTTTATTTTTCATTGTCAGGTAGGTTTATTATATGACGAAGTATCACTCCAAAATGTTCTTGATATGACAGCTGATTGGACCTCAGAGGAAAGGCAAATGTTAAGAAATAAGGTAATGAATGCAATTGTTAAACCAGATAAAAAATGTGTTTCCTCTCTTGAAGTGGAATTACATTCCAATTTTGAAGTTGTTATAATTGTCACTGAAGTAAATTAGCTACAGAAATAAGGCAGATGCTAAGAAATAAGGTAATAGAAACATCTGAACCAGATAAAAGTGTGTTTCCTATTTTGAAGTGGAAGTATATACTTGGATTTTGATGTTATTATAGATTGTCATTGAAGTAATTGGTTTCTTCGTCAGCACTTTCTTAAAGGATACAAGAAAAGGCACTGTGTTATACAGTTCTTCTACCAAGGTTTAACTTATTTGTTTCTCCAAAATCTTTATCATACAAGCTTATGATTCAGCTGATTTGTGCTGGCTCAATTATTGATGAGCTTTGGGCTGTTATGTTATCCAGGATGACTAAAGTAGAAGGAGTATCTCTTTTATCTTCTTGACTACTCTGGATTATTTGAAAATAATTGAATCAGAGGTCTCCTGGGGGATTTTTGCTTTTCTTTCAATAGAGTTGGAGATTTTTAATTCCAGATCCTTTGTTTTCTGTTCAAGCGACATCCTGTTTCCGTTTTACAGGGCTTGAGAAACCTCATTGATATCTTAGCTGATTTGCAATTATCCATTCTTTTCTATGTTCCCTTGATGCCTTTATAAACTTTATATTTCCCGGGAAAACGTTATTCGACTTTTTTGTGATTGGCTGGAGTTTTCTATGGACTGGTTGTCAGTTTCAGCAGATCCTGTGATGTTGTACAATTTATGGGATTGATTATTTTTTTGATAAAATATTTGGTGGTATTGTTGGATGCTGGTAAGCAGAAGATGCTATTAGAAATCAAGTGAGAATTGGAGGAACTAAGCCTGTGAGATATTAATTGTTCTTTTCATGTACCAAAAGGAGTGATTTTTATGAGGTTTGCACATGATTTTGGTGACAGTTGAGCAATGTGATCAGAGAACTAGTTAGCTACTTTTGTTTAATTATCTGCCATTTTTCTGTCATTGCCCACTTCTTTCTTATGCTGCAACAGTTATATTTTTTGAGGCAGAGCAGCTGACTTTTCATTGACCAACCACAGCTATTATTCGACCTTAAGTTTAATAAAGTTACTATCTGTAGTTGAAACTAGAATATTGCTTGCATTCTACTTGCTTGTGTTCTATATGCTTTTATGATACAGCTGGTTTGCATCTATCCCTGCAAGTAAAGATTGCAAGTCTAATATGAAAACTTCATTAAATAGGTTCCAAAAACTGGTTTGAAAACACCATTTAGAGATGGTTTGCTGAAGCACGTTGCTGAAGATGTTTTGAAGCTGGCAAAGGTAATATGGAAATCATTATCTTTGTTGTGCTTTGCAGTCAGGTTTAGATGTTTTCCTAACTATATATTTGTCCGGATGCATCTACTACTGGATTCCAGGATGGCTTAGAACGAAGAGGTTTCAAGGAATCAGGATTCTTAAATGAGGTTGCCGATGTGGTTAGAACAGGTAACTGATGCAGAGCTAGAGTAATTTCGTTTTAATCTTCTTTCATGCCAGTCTACATGTTCATGTTTGGATGATGTTCTAATGACAGGTGTGACGCCAGCCGAGAAACTGCTGGAGCTGTACTATGGCAAGTGGGAGCAAAGTGTAGATCCTGTCTTTGAGGAGCTATTGTACTAAGGTTAATTAGATTCTTGTGGCACTCTGGTTGCCCTTAAATGTAATCTTCTTTGAGGTTTGGCCTTAATCTTTAGTTTCTTTTCTGAGCTTCTTGTGAGGGGCTGTGACTGAGGAACATATTTTTACACAAGAATAAAAGGCTATTTGGTCATTGACAATAAGATTCCTGTGTAACTAGCATTAAAAAGAAAATCAAATAAAAATTACTCTAAATGAACGAAGATTATTGAGCTTATAGGTGAAGTAACTTGGCTTGCATATCCCGAGCAATGTTTCAATGGTTTGGGCTGATCTAATTTTACCTGCTTCTTTTTCTTGTTTCATAGTATTTTCTGTTTATGAGCCTAAAGAAAAATCTGGCTCTGCCTTTTTTTTATAGAGATCTTTAAGTCATGGGCTGTTGATTTCCCTAACAAATGACAAAAGTATGGCCCACGGCATTTGTTGCATCAGGTTGCCATCTGTATTTGGTTGTCTAGGGAAGAAATTAGGTAGCATGTGGCATCCACTAGCACTGAATGTCTGGCTCAGCTGGGCATGGTATAGTTTCCCTTTTTTCCTGTTCTATTATAATCAATAGACGGTCTTGAGCTTTTTCACCTCTTAACCTAAGGTATACAATGAGAGGGGATTTTAGGTGGTTGAAGTTGTATTAATCATCTCTACGTATTATTTCAGTTGCATTCTTATTCTTTTACTTTGTTTACCTGGGATATATGATTTTTTATATTTAATTCAATTGGTCAACCTCTGCTTTTACCTTAAATTTCCCAGGATGAATTTCTGATTCTCACTTTTAGTTACTTCTCACTTTTAATGTCCATTTTCAGTGTTGATATATAAAATTACAATATGAATTTTATGTTTGAGCTACACTTACTCCCATCTTGTGGTGCAGATACAAAATTCGTGCGGTGATTTTATAAGTTTAAGATTAATATGAATACTTCAGAACCGCAATAGGAATTGGACCAGTTGTTCATGTGAATATTTAATAACCGGCCGGATGGTTCCCTAGAATCCCCATGTCTAACTGGCTGGCTAAAGTATTAGATACGCCCATATTGCTGTACTCACACAGCGCTTGAAGCACTTTAAGAGGAAAGGAACAGGGGAGGGAATACGTCAAATCATATGTGACTTGACGTATTGATGCACTGTTGTTGCGGAGCGAACGTGTAAGCAAATTTGAGATGGGGAAATTCTACTATCTTGATTCATTTCACCGTGATATATTTACTAACATAGACAATAATGATTCGTGAAATCTCATCTTACACCCTCGTGTGTACTTCTTCTTCATATGCATTTCATACGTATATATGTATGCAAGTACGTGTTTGTGCCCTAATAATAACATCCGTATGGATGAAGAGTGTCAGCTACTGCTGTTAGCTTTTCCTTTTTGTTCTTAAAACTCTAATCTTGTAATTATTCAGAAGATTCTTTTTTTTATCTGAAACTGTTAATTTTAGAGATTGGTATGCAAAAATTAGGTCATGAAATTTTTACCAGTGAATAATATGCGTAGGGAAGAATCCCAACATAGGATTCCAGCATGTAGCAGCCAGCTCAAGTAGACCGTGTTGGGGTGGGGGGGGTGGGGGGAGTGAGAAGATGAATAATATTGTAGGAGAAAGAGACAGGGTGTTCTCCATCCAATAATTGAAGCCCTCCCTGCCTCCTCACTGTTTATTTTTGAAGATTAATCCACCTAATTCTGATTCATACAAATCTACTTGCAATCTCCCACTGATTATACCTTGTAACCACCTTTTCTGCATCAAATTTGTCGAAATTGCCCTCCTCTGTAAATATAATTTTGTTATCTGAAACCTCCATTGTCGTATTCCTTGTATAAATGGGTAATTGTGAGAGAGATGAAATAGGAGGGCGAGTAGGTCATTTCCAGGGAGAGAAGAAGCAGCTATGTATTTTCCCATCCAGCTCACAACACTCGATTGGAGTTTGACATGTCCTCCTCTTAAACAATGACACTTGACATTATCTTCAATCTTGAAAATAAATTTGTGAAATCAAATTATCCTACAAAAGCCCATCATCATCATCAGAAATCTCCATAGATCATTTCCTCCTCCAAATCATCATCGAGAAAAATGAGAGAAATCCTCCACATTCAAGCTGGACAATGCGGTAACCAAATCGGTGGAAAATTCTGGGAAGTTGTATGCGATGAACACGGAATTGATGCCGGCGGAGTGTATGTTGGCGACTCTAGGGTTCAACTGGAGAGAGTTAACGTCTACTTCAATGAAGCCAGCGGTGGTCGGTACGTGCCTAGAGCTGTACTGGTGGACCTTGAACCTGGTACCATGGATAGCTTGCGAAGTGGACCTTATGGTCAAATCTTTAGACCTGATAATTTCATTTTCGGTCAAAATGGAGCTGGGAATAATTGGGCGAAGGGACACTACACTGAAGGAGCTGAACTCGTTGACTCTGTTCTTGACGTTGTTCGTAAGGAGGCTGAGAGTTGTGATTGCTTACAAGGTATTAATTTAATTTATTTAATTTCATTTTGAATGAATTGATTTTGAATGAAACTAATTGAATTAAATTAATTGTTGTGAAAAGGGTTTCAAGTATGCCATTCGCTGGGTGGAGGAACGGGATCAGGAATGGGAACACTGTTGATATCCAAGATCAGAGAAGAATATCCAGATCGAATGATGTTAACTTTCTCTGTTTTCCCTTCGCCTAAGGTGTCTGATACTGTTGTTGAACCCTATAATGCTACTCTCTCTGTTCATCAGCTTGTTGAAAATGCCGACGAGTGCATGGTCCTCGACAATGAAGCTCTCTACGACATCTGCTTTCGAACTCTCAAACTCACCAACCCCAGCTGTATTTTCTTCAATCTTCCTCTTCTCTTCCTCCTCCTCCTCTTTCTTCTTCTTCTTTTTCTTCATGTTAATTTCTTTTTGATTAGCTGCAACTGTATATTAAGATTTAATTAATATACATACAGTTGGTGACTTGAACCATTTGATCTCAACAACAATGAGCGGAGTGACATGCTGCCTCCGTTTCCCCGGTCAACTGAACTCCGATCTCCGGAAACTCGCCGTCAACTTAATCCCCTTCCCGCGGCTCCACTTCTTCATGGTAGGTTTTGCTCCATTAACCGCTCGCGGCTCCCAACAGTACCGGGCCTTGACAATCCCGGAGCTCACCCAGCAAATGTGGGATGCAAAAAACATGATGTGCGCCGCCGATCCACGCCATGGCCGATACCTGACCGCCTCAGCTATGTTCCGCGGCAAGATGAGTACCAAGGAGGTGGACGAGCAGATGATAAACGTGCAGAACAAGAACTCGTCCTACTTCGTGGAATGGATACCCAACAACGTGAAATCGAGCGTGTGCGATGTGCCGCCTACTGGGTTGCAGATGTCGACGACGTTCATGGGGAACTCGACGTCGATACAGGAGATGTTCAGGCGGGTGTCGGAGCAGTTCACGGTGATGTTTAGGAGGAAAGCGTTTTTGCATTGGTATACAGGGGAAGGGATGGATGAGATGGAGTTCACGGAGGCGGAGAGTAATATGAATGATTTGGTTTCGGAGTATCAGCAGTATCAGGATGCTGCGGCGGTGGGAGATGAAGAGGAAGAAGAAGAAGGG